TTATAATTTAACGTAAAAAATTTGTATTGGTCCTTTATTTACAAACTGAAATGGTAAAATATATATCACCTATACTGGGTAAATATTGGATCATTATTAAATAAAAATATAGGTCCTATATTTGCAAACTAAAATGGTAAAATATATGGCACAAGTATTGGGTAAATATTGCATTTAAATATTGGATCGGTATTAAATACAAATATTGGTCCTATATTTACAAACTATAATGGTAAAATAAATGTCACCTATATTGGGTTAATATTGTATGTCAATATTGGATCAATATTAAATACAAATATAGGACCATTAAAATACAATCTGACGTTTCCATCATTGGGCCAATATGTAAAAATAATATTTTACCAATATTGGTGTGCTACTGGGGAATATGCATGAAAATTAACAAACATTTGTTTTATTTGCAAATTTAATTATAGCATTATTATCAGGAATAAATTAAAAATTTGTCTGATTTAAATTAAACTCTAATCACTGTGCAATTGGGTTTGGAAAAAAATTAGTCGTGAAAATTGGCATTAAAGAAATAAAGACTGTCGGTGGTTTATTAGTCAGTGCTGCGGACTCCAAGCCAAGTGGTCATGGGTTTGAATCACACATGGGTATGGCTGTTTATTTGTGTTTGTCAAGGGTTAAGTGGTAGGACAGCTAATGCTAATGCTAATCCCTTTGATCATTAAAAAAGACTATCAATATATATATATATATACATATACATATATATTTTTTTAATTAAAAATAGTTTATCCTAGTCAAATTTGCGCTCTAAATATTTAAAATATATTGTATGTATATAGAGTTGGGGATGGTCAATTCACCGCGGTCAATTGACTGTCAATTGACCGCTACCTAATATATTTAATTTTTGCAGCATTTTATTTAGGTATCAACAATTACCCGTGAATCTCAAAATTTTTGCGATCGTGCAATATCGACATCATTTACAATTTGGTGGTTCCCCGAGTCGAGGGGTTGCTAGGCCGGACTCGGCGCTTTGCCCTTAAAGCGGGACATATCTTTTTTAATAGCGAAACATAACTTTTTAAAGCCGCACAAACGTTTCTAAAGATGTACATAACTTTTATAATAAAAAAGCACAAATAAATCACAGTAATATTTATTTTGATATTTTATTTAATTTTATTTTGGTCAATTGACCAAAAACAATTTGACCGGTCAATTTCACAACCCTATATGTATACATAAATTAAAACATAATAATTAAAAGCTCATTCACATTCACTTAATAAACGTAAATTAACTTACGTGAGAGACGTAAGTTGAAATACATTCAACCCAATGCAGCTGTTTACATTCGTAGAAAACTTATCACACGTAACTTAACGTATTCAAAAGTTGGGTCGGGCTCAACTTAAGTAAATACGTTTCTTACGTGAGCCCAGTAAAACGATATAGCGCTATCTTGTTGTTTCACTTTTATAGACAGATAGGCACCCAGTCTACATCGATGTATATATTGCGCGTGCTTGTATATTACGTTCTTTGCGTGTATTAAGTTTATGTAAACAGACAACTGGGTTTTAACAGAGAAATAACGTAATATAATTTAATTTAACTTTAAAAGTAATTTAATTGAATTTACTTGCGTTCATACAAAAAGTAACGTAATTTAATAGTGTTTAAAATTAAAAACAATATTTTAAAGAGAGTGCTTACTTAATGTATCTAAAACTTAAAGTTTTATAAAACTTTAAGTTTTAGATACATTAAGTAAGCTCTCTCTTTAAAATATTGTTTTTAATTTATATATGGCTTACTTTGGTAATTACAATCGAAATATTTGTCTTATTATTAAAACCGTTTACACAAAATAGGTTAGATTCTCCCAAAATAGGTTAGATAATACGAAATAACCTTGAAATAACGTAATTTAATTTAAAAGATAAAAGTTGGCCAACTATTAAATTAAGTCTTAAATTACATCACTGTATGAACGTTACAAAGGATTCTTGGGTTTTTAACTTTTAAGTTAAATTAAATTACATCTTAAATTAAATTACTTTTCTGTGAGAACCAGGCGTAGGTTTCTTAAGTTAAGTTAAGTTAAGTTATGCCTATTAAGTGGATGTGAATGAGCTTTAAGTCATAATAACTTTGAAACATAAGTCATAAGTAGAGATGGGATTTTATTACCTATTCTCTTGAAAATAAAAATTGTGGTAAAATAAGTAAAATAAAATCAGGCTCAAATGATTCCAGTACACGTGAGTGAAGAAGTCACTTATTAATCAATGCTATTTTTTGTACTTGTTTCTTTTATAGAAATTCCATATCGGCTGTTCTGATGACGTCAGAGATTTTTCAGCAAGGTGCTTGGCTCTTTTAAGGTTTACAACCTGTCAACCCTGACTCATTAAGAGTCACTCATATTCAGGCCAGGGAATAGGCCCTTACCAGCAAGAACAACAATTCAAAATGTTGTTACATTTGGCAGTGTTAATTTTATGTACTCATAATAGGGAACCGCTAGCATGGCCCGTGAACAGTTTTTTTAGAATAACTTTTTTTATTTGAGAATATTTGGCTTTTATTACAAGATTATAATCGTTTATTTTCCACATTTATAAAAAAAATTAAAATGATTCGAAAAAGCAGCTTCGACTGAAATTTAAAAGGTGGTGGGGCGAAACAGATAGTTACAGAAGGGAACGTAAAACATTGGTGGACAATTTACCGTTTTTTTTTTAATTTTTACTGACGCAGGAGAATCAGGTTTGTTAACGAATCGGTTTAACGATGGTTGTTTATCTCACTTGTTCATTCGTAAGGAAATCAGCAAATGTGTTAAAACAAAGCGTTGGTGTTATTGTGTTAAAATTTTAAATATTCTTTAATAAAAATGGTCTACACTTTAGAAGAAAAAATTCAATTTATTACGTGGCATATACACAGAAAAAACGCTTTGATATAGTCAATAACAATGCTATAATTGATTGTTTTTTCATTTCTCCAATAAAAGTTAAAGTTTATTCAATCAAATATGTTTGAGGAAATTGATGGTAAGGGATTGATGTTATTACAAATATTATATTCAGCCCATACCCCCACAAAATATTATCAAGTTAAAATTACTTGTTATAGAGTAAATGGCTCTTTAGATTTAAACCTAATGGAAATGTGTGCTTCTTAAAAATTTTAGAAATGATTGCATTCAAAGTTTATTTGATCAAGGTAAAATTAACAATATTTAATTAAATATAACATTGATTTATATTAAAAGTTATAATGCTTCAACCAAAAATTAAAAACAAATGAAACAAGAATAGTCTTTGTTTCTTTTAATGTTTATGATTTTTATTCCAATGGAAACTAAGGTAAAGCAAGTTATTACTGTCTTACAGTGAATACCAATGTTTTCACTGTCTTGAAAAATACTTGTTATTTGCCCAATTATCATTCTTATTTTTTCAATGATGCCTATATTCAATTTAATGATTGCTAAAATTCAGACAAACGCGCCAGGGCATCCCCTGCCACACCACACATCGGCAACCTGCAATCGCGTTAAATGTGATCAACTGATTAATCGGTATTTCTGATGACGCCGATTGATGTAAGTGTATGGGTTATCTGTTATATTTGCTAATTTCTTGGAGGTTGTACTTCCTAATCCCGAATTTTCAAGGTTAGTTGTACATGTTTTTTAATTGTATGTCCCCCATGCATTATCCAGTAATTTAATTACTCAATTATATCTAAATAATAACAAAAAGGTAAATGTACTCATATATGTGTATACCATGGACTCAGTTTATCTTTATATTCGGTGGCATGCCTTAAAATAGCTATTTTGCTTAAATGGACGAAGTTTTTATTTATTTATAAAAAAACTTCTCATAGTCTTTTAGTACCATCATGATATTCTTGCAGGGCGTCCTGAAAGTATATTGCTTTACGACTTTAGGATTCGCCTCTAAGTACGATGAAATTCCTATTTCGTTTTAGAATAACCATGTGCCATGGCAGACAGATCCTGCACAACCAGTACAGTAACTGTTGCTAGTGATGGGTCAGCAACTTTCTTAGAGCCGAATATCACCAACACTTTTAGTGGGTTCCTAATAGTTCCTACAGAAAACAGAACAATTTCATGGATCGAAAAACCTGTGTACACAAGACTATAGTCTGGTATACCAGAAGCAGTTTCCAGAATTCATTTTATTTAAAGTTCATATTAATGTATTATACAACTAATATTTGCACAAGAATATACTTATTTAAAGGAAATAGAGCTTTGATTGCATTTAATGTAGCCATGCATTAGAAACCATAACTTTATTTATGCCAATGATAGTTTTTCGTTAAGATTCATTGTGACTTCAATTAAATAACAATTAAATTCAATAATTTCTTATGTTTTAACTGACTAAGTTTTAATACGGATTTAATAGAATCACAATTTAATTTAATGACTTCTTATGTTTGAACTAATTTTAAGCAGGTTTGCACAAATAAAAGTAAGACAATCATTCATTTGATCATAGCTGTAATTCAGGTATTGCAAATACAGTATACCATTGGATTAATGGTTAACCCACAATATAAAATTCAGCGATCATTTTCCAAATAGGCTCTTTTCAGTAAGAGCGACAATTCAAATGTCGTGCATAATTTAATCGATGATCTCATAATAGGAAACCACAAGCAAGGCCCGCGAATAAAGAGCGCGAATTACGGGACACTTTAATGTGTGCAAGCACCGAACAGGATCTGACAGGATCCGACCCAGTCAACCAAACAAGTTGCCCATATTAATTAAAGAGAGGCCTTAAAAAAGGAAAACATAAACTTCGAAACGTCGGTAATTTAAAAAAAAATGAAGTTTTTTGTTTTATTACTGTTATATTTGTGGTTGTACAAGAAAGATTAACTATCTGATCTAAGTAAACATAAAAACAGAGGTATAATAAAATAATAATATATGAAACAAGTTTATTGTTTAACAACATAAAATGCAACTTAATTTAATAGATAAAAACCGGGCAGGGTTTTTTTCATGAGTAGATCAAGCATCAGCGATGAGAGCAATACAGTCAGTGCTGTTGATGGCATGGTCAAATGCTTCTTTGATGTATTTTTCCAAAACCGGTAATGTTTGATATCGAAGATTAGCAATTACCCAAGCTTCAAGTCTTGGGACAAGCCAGCTGAGGGATGCCAGTCCAGAGGCGTCCACATCAATGTCTCTAAAAAATAAATTAATTAGTTGTTAATATGAAAATATCGATATTAAGATATATACAGCCTGTGTTTACAAATTTTCATGTCAAAAAACTATTTTATTTAGACAAAAATTAAAATGCGATAGCATAAATAATTATATTTTAGTCGTATGGGTTAAGCAATTAGTAATTAGTAAGTTATTACACTAGTTGGTTTATGATACATTTTTAATAGGAAAGGCCTTTTAAAGTGTTAAAATTGCCAGCAGTGGTTGCTTAATTAATCACCCGATCTTAACCCGATTAAGCATGTTTGGGATAATATTTGATAATGAAAATTTGACATATTTTGAAAAGTTTTTGTAGACAGGCTTTAGTGAATAAAACACGCCGGCGTCTTCTAAATTTATGTATATTCTACGCAAAAAAAGGAATGGTTAATTTAACTATTTTAATTTGGTTGACTCGCTGGAAAGGTTAATATAAACAAAGATTAGTTTGACTAAACCAGACTAAACCAGATAGTTATTATATATTTTTTAATTGGTTAAATTAACTAGTTAAAGTTAAAGTAACTCGCTGTATGGTTCAGTTTTTTATAAAATAAGAGTTACTTTAACACTAAACACTCTGTTAAAACCTTTAAAACAATTTGCCGTGCATTCTGGTTGCATAGTATGTACCGATCGCGGCAAAGGCGTTGTGGATCACGTGATGTTCTTACATCTCGCCTCTGTTGGCTTAGTTGTACAGTATATAAGCTCAGGTAGTTCTTTGCTTTGAGTGTTCAACTACAACAAGTTGTCCGACACTGATGGGTCAAGGAAGTTTCTTGAAGAAACTAAGAAAATTGTTTCTACCCCAAATATTTCAATATTTTATTTTAATTGTTAGGTAAGTATATAAATGCGCCAAACGCAGTGGGTAAGTTTTACCAAACCGTTAACCAAGTAAGGGTAACAAATTATATTGAGTCATTTCAACTATAGTATATATAAACATGTTTGTTTTAATCAAATATTTAGTTGTAAAATATAACTAAATGCAATTGTGCTATTGCTATTGGAACAACAGATTTAGTTAAATGAAACCAATACTAGTTAGGCTAGTACATATTGTTCTGTTGATTTTGATAGAATATGTACTCATGCATTGTCCACCGCTTCAGCAAAAATTAAATCTTAAAAGCAATAATAATCCATAATCAGAACGGCCTACTGTGTTTTCCTCGAGTGAAATCGCAATTACTCCCTCGATAAATCCTTCCTTTTGGCTATCGGCTCATTCGAAACTTTTACCATCGGAAGTAATTGCTAGTAAACGCTCGGTAAAAATACTAATTTTGGCAAATGTGTTAATATTAAACCTTTTAGTTTAAGATTGGTTTTTATTTTTAAGTGGGAAACTATGCAGTTTTTAAAAAGAAGTCAAGATCAGCAAAATCACAAATTTAAGGCGGCCACGATTTGTCATTTAAGTGTTCTAAAATTCTAAAATATAAATTGCAGAATTTACACTTAACAATTCAATAAACATTTTAATAATTTCAGTTAAATAGTGCGTTTAATGTAAAATACAATTTGTTTATTTTTTTTGTAATATCGGACTACAAAACCAATTTTACTAAACTTCTTTAAACCAATTGATCTCTACTACAAACCAAATTAAAAATGTTGTGGACAAATTAAAACCACACTTAACATTGTATAACCGCTACACCCGTTAAAAATAAAAAATCGTTTACCACTATAAACAACACAAAGTGTCATCAAGTCGGCGATTTAATATTGGTAATAAAGTTAACGATAACGATAATCCGTCAGTATCAGGTGCCAATTTGTTCCTGCAAATTCTGTTCACCAGCAGCAAAACTAATTATACCTATGGCATTTGTCGACTTAACTTACAAATTGCTACTGCATACGACTTTTTGTAGTTCTCAATTCGCGGCATCGTCTTACAAATTGCTCGATTTACACCAAGAATAATTAGTCTAATTTGTAATTGAATATTTCAGGTAATTAGAACACGATGCCAAGATCATGTCAAGGTAAATTAATTGATTACTCGCACCTAAGCTGTTTCTAAATAAACACATGTAGAGTTAAACAGCTACAATATCAAGTTAAAATTAAAATCAAACTTTAGCCTTATCTTTTTTTTACATTTTTTTTTTATTTACTCCATTATCTTTCATTTACACGAGTAAATTCTACGCCCCTAAGTATCATAATCATTCCCTGAAAACAAACGTTTGTCGACATGATCGTGACATATCACTTTTAGAAATCCTACTACGTAGTAATTACTAGGTGGATATCTTTTTTTCTTTCAATTTCTCCCTCAAATTTCCTAGAATATAATGTAAAACAACTTCGGGCCAATGTTGGGTTTCAATATTGGACCATGCTAGAAAAAATCTGACGAAAGATATATTGGCCCAATATTATTACGAATATTGGGCCAATATCTTTGTGCTACTGGGGTGTGGACGTTGTGCTTTAATTTTTTTTCTTATGAGTTGTTATCAATAGGGAAAAATCCTTATCAATAAGAAATTTCTCTTAGCGACACGTTGCGCATGACTACCCTTGTAATTGTTATCCTTAGCCGTTAATTCGTAGGCGATTTTTAATTTTAAAAAATCAGTGGTTTACCGCTTGCCCTGATCTGAATTTAAAAGTGCTTTTTAATAACGTAAATTCTTAGACAAGTACAACTTTTAGTTTTTGTGTTTAGGTTGTGTACTTTGGACGAGATGATCGTTTGTTTTGGCAGACAATTTTACTTTTAACTCCCAAAAAGTTTCAAAGTAGAAGATAAAGTTCCGTGATTACAAAAAGAAAATATTTCAAGAAATTATTTCCAAACTCTGATATTTTAATTATATCTATTTTTAGTGCTTATAATATGCAAAGATTAGATATAATATTGGGAAATTGTAAAAGTAAATATCAATTCTAGTACACCGAAAAAAATAATGTAGTTGCCTAAATGTCATTTTTGAAAATGTTGTTTCATCAAAAAACCTATTGGATTAATCTATATTTTGGTGTCAAAGCAATAGTCAGAGTTTGTCAAAGTTTATTTGTTCATTTGACAGTTAAAATATTAATTTAACATAAACTAATTTTTTGAATTAAAATGTATTTTGATTTAATAGCTGGAATTGGTTGAATCAAATACTGAAATTTTTAGGATTACCTAAAAAAACTATTAAATTAACGTTTAGTTGCTCTTTAAATCCAAAACATTAAATTTGTTCATTTAACAAATTGTAAATGTTACTTCAAAATTCGTCATTAGACGATGTTGATCACGTGATGCTCTTACATCTCGCCTCAGTTGGCTTACGATAGGAGTATATAAGCTCAGGTAGCCGATTGTTTTTGGTGTGTTCCACACTGGAACTTCCACTACACCAAATTGCCCGACACTGTTTATCAGTGACTGATAAGACCCCCAATATAGGTCGAATCAGCTGTCTGTCGGTAGGTATTTGAAGTAGGTGGAACGCACTTAAAACAAAAATTCTGGCGAGGGAAGGTTCAATTCTTTCTCTTTATATTAATTCCATAATTTAATTAACTCAACATTAGCGCAAATTATTTTAATTTAACATTTTATTGGTGTTAAGTGAATATGCTAAAAAGGTTACTTGGACATTTCAAGAAATTTACCTTAACATCTTAAAAAATGTTAGCACAACCATTTTCGAAATATTACTCTGACATATCAAGAATGTTTAATTAACCAGATTAGCAGATGAGAACAAATATTCTCATTTTGTTCATTTGACTATTATTTGTTGTTCAATTAAATAATACAATTTGACATTTTTAGATGGTTAAGTAAACGTGCAAAAACCATTGCTTTTATTTAAAGTGCATAAAGAGTTGAATTAATATTTTTTTTGTTGTTTCAACAGCTTATTTTTCCAGTGTAAGGCCCGGAATATTTATCGAATCATTAAACAAGTTTAATATTATTATTATAACATTAATTATAATACATTGTAAGTATATAATAAATTATGTAAGTAGTATTAATTTCTATATACAGACTAGAATAACAATTTTTAGTTACCAAGATGTATTAATAAATACTTAATAATTATGTTACTTATAACTTGCGAACTGTGAGTTACAAGATAGGTTCGATAGTTTTTCATGCAATAAATACCTAATTTTTTTATATTTTTATTAAATCTTTAGTTGCAATAATATTTTTTGTTGTTTTGTATTTAGAATATTTTAATAGTTTAATATTGCATTTTTATGTGATGTATTTAGTATTAACTTTTAATATCTCATCTTGTAATTGGTTCAAGGACTGTAAGATTATGTAAAATTTACATTGTAAATAAATAAATAAATAAACTTACTTGACAGTGTTAGCTTGTACAGTTTCCAAGCGTGTATGGCAAAGCTCCGGTTTTTTTCGAATTACTATTTTGACGAAAATTTTGTTTTTATATATGCTGGTCCTAATGCTTCCGCTGATTTTGTTGCCTTCAAAGGTGCTTCGGTATTTCTCATACCCATGCTAGAAAAAAAATTAACTACAACTATTTAAAACAAACAATGCTCCAAAAGTCTGGACTCAAAATAGAAATCAAAAATTTCTAAAAACAGTTTCTAGGATATGTAATTGGAAATCAGTATGACCACAAAAATGATACCTATTTACTAAGCAAACCTGGGGCTCTAGCCATCCAAACTTTTTTTTTAAATGACAACATCCCCTTTGTTATATCCTTTTAATTGTATAACTTAAAAAAAAAATAAGAAAAGTATATTTGTAATTATTTTTTCTTAAAATTAAAATTAAAGCATTTTGTTGTAAAATACAATAATGAGAAAGTAGAAACACAAAATAATTGTTCGTTTTTAAATAGACACCCTGTATAATTAATAAATATTTTTTGAATTTAAGGAACACTGAAAATATCCATTTTTTAAAAGACTTTTTTAAAAATATTTTTTTAGGTAATGGATAACTATAGTCTCTATTTATGTTGTTATGCATGATGTTTGTTTACTAAGATATAATCGAAGATACTGGTTATATTACCTAAGATATGGAAATCAGTGATCCAGAAGAAGTCCTCTAATAAGTCCTCATTTTTACTTTTAAAACGTTTTACAAAAAAATTATCTATAGTAAAATAATAAAACTACAAAAATAAAATAAAGAATTTATTCTAGTTTGTGCTATAACATATTTTTGTCTTAGAATTTTATTTATGTATAGATTTCATGTCGAATAACTTTTAAAAACCAACCAATCCAACTCATATTAACTGAAGTTATTATTAAAATCTACCATTTATTATGCATAATAATGGTTTTCGGATATTGCGGTAACATACAAGGAGTATCTAAACTGGCGAACAAGATCTCCAGTACGTTTTAGCTTAATAATTGAATGAGTTATAAAGAGGTAAAGTTGATAACCTAACTTTTAAGAATTCTGCAACGTTGGTTGGAAAGAGACATGGACTCTTAACCGTTATTAATAATAAAAATAACTAGAAATGACCAATTAGCCAAAAGATTCCATTTAAAAAATCGTCAGACATACGGTCCTTTTAAGAACCAAAAACCGACAACATGAAGCAGATCCCGGAAAAGCATTAATAGATAGATAGATATATGAAGAAAGAATAAAAACAAAACCGAACAAATAAAAGAATACATTTTAATATAAATATTTATTCCATCGTTTCGGGTGTTAAATTAAATTTTGTTCAACCAAAGTCTAAATTTTTATGTATTTTGAAATAAAATTTTAGCAATTAAAGTACCTTATTCTCTACGTTTTTAGTTGTTTTATCTAAAATGTAAAATTAGTACTGTTTAGCATATAGGATAACGATTTTATAAGTCAAACTCGAAAAGTGTGCGTTTTGGGTGTTCTGCCTCTAAAAATGAAGTAAAATCGTTAGTATTGCCAAATATCGGTAAAAAATCAGTAGAAACCATAATTATTGACAAAAATCTTAGTATTCGGTATTTTGGTAGAAATACCGAAATTTCGGTAGGTTCGACGACACCATCGGAAAAGCAGTCACACCTCTTTAAAAGAGCAGTCTCTCGTCAAAAGAGCCTTAAAAATAATACTTATTGCATTCTTTAAGCAATACACAAACATGAAAAAGTTGTAACACCCAAAACGTTTCGGTTGTGACAGTTTTTAATCAAGAAAAACACACATCAAATTAGTCTTATGCTTAGATAAAAGTTAGTATTTTAAATCATTACCACCATTACTTTTACTAAATATTACTACACTAATCAATCTGTAAAAAGGTATTTCGTATTTCCAATAGATAGAGGCAAAGATAATATTATCTTTGGTTGTAAATGTTAAAGTTACAATTGTTGACATAATTGTAACTATGGCAATTAAGCATTAGGTAAATTTAGTAAGTAAATATACTGGTCCTTAATTTCTATTTGTTATAACAAATCAATCCGTTAAACGTTATTAAAAAACGGATGCATGAAAATTAGAACATTTCTTGTCGGACGATTTTATTGAAAAACTGACAAACAGATAATGGACAAACGGATACATGAAAATTAAGCTTTAGAGGCACAATGGTCGTGCAGGTCAGTCCAGATTTTGAAGACTAACGAAAAGAACCTATTTATTTTTTCACCCTCAGTATCGTTTGTCATGAAATGACATAATATTATAAATTAAATAACTATAGGACCACACAATACTGTGAGTACCAACATTTGTATTTTTATTGACCTGTGCAATTACACACCAATTCCTCTTCGCAACCGAGATGCTGCTGCAATAACACCACGAACGCTGCAAGGCGTCCAGAATAACATTTTGAGTAAAGAAAGAATTTGTGTGGAGGAAAATGGGCAGAATTTTAAACAACTACTCTGAATTATAAGAATTCGACTATTAATAATAAATTTACTCAGCGTGAACGGTTTTTCTAACACTCAAAAAAATGTTGATCATAATATTAATGAACTGCTTTCATTAACTTCATTTTCATTGATTCAATGAAATGTTCATTAATCCAAAGTACAGAAAACTGTAAGTATCATTGATTCATAACCAGCTATCATTAAAATAAAAAAGAATGTGTCTACGTTGAATAGTCATTAGTCAATAGTCAAATTTAAACTTGATAGTAAATAAAGTTTCTTTGATAAAGTTTAAATGAAATATTAATAGTATTACTGAATAGAGTGCATTAAACCCTATAGGACCTTCTCTCTCTTAACCACCAAATATTTACCATTATAATTTCCACTACGATTTCTATACTTTGCTTAATACTACTTTCTTACTTTATTATTAAAACCCTACACGTGGCGAAGACAGAGATTTCAATCTTCCTTGTAGATCCTTTGTAAGTTCAATTGGGCGTAGAATCCGTAAGTCAATCAGCCTGAGGCCGTTCAGATAACCTGCGCGAGGACCTTACGTAGGTAGCCCTCCGATGTACATACGTCATAATCTGTTTATGCAATAATTACATTTTTATAAATGGTTTGTTAAGGGAACTAAATAATACAGGGAACCAGCCACCGTATCAATGTTTCCGAATTTACGAATCCGTTTTTGGTTAATAACTCCTCCAATATCGCAAAAGCTTTTTTTACTATTTTTCCGGGTCTTCTTTAGGGGTCCCCTAAAACGTACTGGAAAGCTTTTCCGCCAGTTTACATACTGTATTTACATAATAAAGACAACACACAAAAAACTGAAAAAAACATATACACAAATGTATATTGCAAATGTTTTCTGTAGAACTAATTTTCTAAATGAAGTCATCAGCCGGCTGTTTGTGATAACAAAACGTATAAATAATTAAATGTTGTATGGCGTAAACAAGCCTACTAGCTCTAATAAACTAAAAGCTTTCCAAATGTTTACTTTTATTTCAGGCTATAGCTTATAGTGCTTATTAGTGCTGCCAACGCAACGTGAATAATAATTTGAATTCAATTACAATATAAATTGATGTGCAGACTATGGTCGATGATTGCAGTGGTTAAAAATAATAGACATTAATTGATAGTTTGGTTTGTTTAAGTGATTTGGATAAAATGGATATGGATACTGTGGTTGTAGCAAAATCTAATTATGTAAACATAAACAAACTTGTTTTCATTTGCATCCTTTGTTTGATATTGAAACCAAATTTTCTTTTTAAACAAAAAGAAATCTGCTGATTTTATATAATATTAAAACTGCTAAATCAGCAGATGTATTTATGTAATGTGTATTTTACAAGAAAAAACTAAAACTAAAAAACGATGTTTACCATCGTAATTAAATCAGATACCGTCAACTACTTGTTTTTAATAATAAAAGTTAAATCGTGGTTCCCTCACTGAAAAAAATATTGTTCATAATATGAATGAACCACCATCATCAACTGATATTTCATTGGGCAAATGAACTTTTTCATTAAGGTAATTAAATTATATTCATAAATCAATATTACCTTTCATCAATATTATGAATTCAAATTCATCCAGATAATGAATGTCACGTCCTTAAATTAATGTAAAATGGTAATTACCGCAATACAATTTTTATAAAAATGATGATCTTTTTCATTAAATCAATAAATTTGTGCATCGTTTGCATTCTGGAACTTTAATGAACAGTAATTATTGCATTAATGCCAACGTCATCATTTAATGAATAGAGAACATTGAAGTAACGAACTACAGTTATTAACTCAATGAGCAAGCTTCATTTTATTAATTTATGAGTTCATTAATTATCTATGAAAAACTGAACATTGCATTAATGAACACAAATTATTATCTCAACGATTATGCTACATTATATAAATGAATGATTTACTCAATATAAGGAATATGATATCAAGTGTTCGTTAAATTAAAGTAGGTACCAGTTTCATAAAACCAATAAATTTGTCATTAAACGGTACCCTACTACCTTGTAGAAAGGCAAAAAACAAGTGTCTTATGGATTGTGTAGTGATTTCTTTTAACGTCGAGACGTCGAATGATATGACAACGAGTCTGTATTTATAGAATTGTTCATTAAAACAATGAAGGCAACCGTTAAAGCTACAAATACATTAACATTATGTCAATGCAATTATTCTTAAATTCAAATAACATTGTTCATCAATAGGATGAAATTTGATTAATACTTTAAATCTATGACTTTTCATTATATTGATGAACTTGTTCATCGCCTCAAAATTAATAACACCATTCATTGATGAAATGAACATTTTTATTGTATTTATGTCCACTTTTGGTTCAGTGCTTGTATTTCTTTGTGATGGCGCTACCGCACACAAGCCTGGTGGTATAAGTAAATTAAATAGGGGTAAACTTAACACTGTATTTTATTTCTTGTAACGCAAAGTATTTAATAAAACAAGTAATACAACAAAGGACTAAGTTTGGGTAAAACTATCACGAGCCAAAGTTACAAAATAGTTAATTTATTAATTTTTAATAAAACTTGTTTTAACGAACCTGGTTAAAGGAAAAATCGTTACAATGTATTTAATAATAATA